GGGTTACATTTTAGGCTTAAAGAAACCAATTTGCCTTCAGCCTTCCTTGTCTACAGGAATGTAGCTATTTTCATAAGTGAGATCGTGGTGGGGTTTTAGCTGCCCATCAGCTGAATAAAAAGAAATATCTTTGCTACAAATTTTTCTCTAAATATCAGAACCTATACACAAAGAGGACAAAAGGGGGAATGTCCTAGTATAGTTTTCTGAAGATCTTTGCCTATCTACTTCAGAACAGTTTAATTTTAAGGGTATTAAATGTAGGCTGTCTCCTTTCTAGAAAGGATTTATTAATGGAAGCAAGGTGTCAGTTCCCTACTCAAGGCTTCAGTATTTATCTATGTATATAACATCAACATTTCTTTCTGAAAATCTTTATTGTAAAGATTTCTGACCATGTCAAGACAATCGGAAAGCATTGCTCAGAGTCTAGCTCAGGCTGCACGGGGAAACCAAGACCTCGCTGTATCACCAAGAGAAAGCCCTGCAGGCTCCTCTGGGGTGGAAACCTTCTGACTTGGATGCAAAAGAAGGGGGGCTGAATCCTGAGTCATGGGTAATAACATCCCAGCCCGAAGGGGCGCGTGATGCACCAGGTTCTCCAGTGGGCTCTGGCCCAGCAGAAGGAACATGTGGTCATTGTGCAGTTTTAACTCTTCTAGTCTCAGGTTTGTGACTCTGTATCATTTTGCTGTGGAACTAGCAGACATGGATTTGGAGGCCAACTTGGAAAAACTGAAGCCAGAAGCCACCAGGAAACAGCACCATCATCGTTAGTGGGACAGATGTTTTTCCTGAAAGGTGATCAAGACAGTCTGGGGACCCCCTACTTGATTCTCTACAGTTTCCTTTATTCCCTTAGCACATTTCTTCTTCCTTTGCTCTTTTTCTGGTCCATGGGATCCAGACCTGATGTTGTACTATCAACCAGTGCAACACCTCTGCTGCAAACAACAGAAAGCTTGTCCTTTGCTTTGCTGTTACTTGACCCAGCCACGTAGTTTGCCTCTCCTGGCCTGTTCAAGGTTGTTTCCTCTCCCTGATGTTATTCCATCTCATCACACCTTTGAAGATGCTGTCCTCTTGCCTGGATCACCCCTCCCCTGCTGGGCACCCCTTGCCCTTCTCCATCCATGGTTTTCACAGGGCTGAGCTGGGAAGTGGGAGTTAGGGAGGAAAGAGGGAAGGAGAGGGGACCAGGGCAAAAGGGCACACGCAGAGCCCAAGGGCAGGGGAAGGGGCTCTAAGTGGAGCCAAATGGGGGAATGATTTCCCCAGGAAATCTTTCAGGTTGGTAATTTGTTAGAAAACAAGTCCTTAGGACTTTGCTGCTTCCAGGAGAAACGCTTCTCACAAGATTAGCTTTGCAACAAGAATGTTATCTTGGATCCATACTGCTCTCTGGCCTCTCACTTCTGCAGGGCATTAGCAGACTGATTGGCTTGAGAAGTTTGGCCAGTTTGACAACCAAGCCACAGAGAAGATGTGCAAAGAGCTTGGGAGGAGGAATTTGAGGAGTGCTTGGAAAGCTTACCACTTAAGTGCGTGAACAAGTGTCCTGTTTTGCGGAGTTAATTAGTGATGGACGGTCTCTTTTTGCCCCTCGGTTGGTGCCGGCTGGTATATGACCTGAGACTGGCTACGGGTAATGCAGCCAGGGAAGGAGAGGGCTGGGCACAGTGGGAGCTGATGCTGTGGGAGGGAGGTGGTACTGGGTATCGCACTCTACATTCCCCAGTTGGTTTCTGATCAAAAGCATAAAATCCCCATAACTTCCTAACTGAAGTAAACATGCAACCAACAGGAAACAAGGGGGGTAAACCCCTTCAGTGACTACCTGCTCTCAGAGTGTCTGCACGGCATTTGCCAGGCTGATGTCTGCCCCTTTTGGCTCAGCAGCCAACGTGTCTGGGCTTGCAGCCAGGAGTGAGCCAACATTTCCTTTCATACTCACCCTTTTGTCTACAGGCTGTGCCCAGGAACAGGGTGCCCCTTGGCCTCCAGCAGAACTGAGAACAAGAAATATAAATCAACAGAAAGCAGGAGAAAATACAGTGCTATAAAACTGCTGATGAACTGTCTTTCTCTTTACTAGTAATTCTCCTCTTTGGCATCAGTGTAAATAGCAAAACTAAAGCCTGAAAAAGAGTGGCCCCCAGAAAGTCGTCTTTTCAATTTAATCCTAGTGCAGTTCTGCAGACTTAATTTTTTTTTTTCTTCAGAAAATAAGAATTAATTAATTAAGGTCAGACTCTCCAGCACTTACAGTCCAAACATGCTGCTTTATTTGAAAAATTGAAAGCATTGAGGTCTGGCTTGGACAAGCAGTCCTCCAGGATAGTTTTTTTTTTAAAAAACCAACCATATCTTCTAGAGCCTTTGATAAATGCCTGAAAAAAGAAAACCAGCCAGTTTCTTTTTGTGTACAAAGTTCAGGAACTACATAAAGTAAAAGTTGGGGAGGAGGGATGTGGGAAACGATGAGAGGTTGAACAGATTCCTTTTTGATAATCTGACCTGTTACCAGGACCTTTTAGAGGTGCAAGTGCCATTTTTGTATGTTGTTATTTTGTATGTGAGCAGGTGGGGGCATGTTTTGCCCCACAGCATGCAGTTGGATGGCAGGATCCTTGCCCGGGTAAAAAAAACAGAGATTCAAAGGGTAAAGGCTGTTGCTGTAATAAAAATACTCGAGCCCATTTTGCTGCCTGGATAATGAAGAGTTTCTAAAAGGGGAGAAATGTTTTAATAATTTTAATGAATTTAAGATGATTGCACCAACGTCCCTTCTCACATAGGAAAGAAACTGAAGATACACCTCCACAAAACTCTTTATGCATGTGACCCTCTGCTGGTGCCTGCACCTGGGTCTGCTTTCCCATCTCCAGCTGGGCTCTTGGGACCAATGAGAGAGGAGCAGATCTGCTCTGTCTACTGTATCTTGGGTGCAAGATCCACATTGCAGTGATATTTGTCTTGGTTGCTTCACGTTAGCTAGGGCTGGGTGTTTGCTTGGGGCATTGAGCTCGCATTGCCCATGAGGTTGCCCATGTGCATTGAGTGTATTCATCTCCACTTGCTCTTTGGTCCTCCTAACCCAGGAAAGTCCCCGTGTGATCTCCACAGCATTATCTGCATCCTCTCTTGTCCTTGCCCTCCCTTTCTTGTCTCAAGTTGCTTCTGTAAGAATCTCTGATGCTTGTTTTTGTTAAGGTTTTTTGGTTTGTCAATAAAGCACCTGAATTTGGTTGGCAATTCTGACCCTAGGAAAGGGGACATAAGTGAGTTGCCATGGCTTTCTCTACTACATGCCATAGAGTTTGCTGTGGACCATCACTTGGCAAGCCCCTGGGGGCTCGCTCCAAGTCACAGAGAAGTGGATCCCAAATGCTCCTGCCTGGCTGCTCCCCTGGGGTAAGGCAGCCCCTTCTGCCCAGAGCAGAAGTCTGGGAAAGAGGAGACTGAGATGGGAGCCGGCATCAGAAAAAGGAGATGATAGAGCCAGGGAAGGGGAGAGAAGCTGAAAATCCCCGAGGGACCCTGTGGAAAGGCTCTGATGTGGTGGTGTGTGCTGGTTTCACTTCCCTGCTCTTTGCCTGCAATGCAAGCTGGTGCTGTGAGGCCCAATGAGAGGCTGGATGGAGCCCCTTCCCCTAATGGAGGTGCCAGCAGGGATGTTCTGGAGTCCACCTCACCTTTTTATTAATTAATCTACAAGGTTGGGGGGAGGGGGGGGGAATGTAAATCTGTGGAAAACTGCAAGAAATCTAAAACATTATGCTGCCCCTCCTGATGGAGGGAAGAGTCAAATTCCTAAATAGCAGAGATGAACACAAACAGAATGTGTATGGTATTTGCTTCTCATATTTTCCTGTAAGAGAGCCTTCTCCCTTTCTTACAGAAAAACCCAGAAAAATTGTATAGACTATGGTGGGTATCCTTCTGTAAATACAGCTAGAAACTTCACATGGTGCTTAATCTCACCGCTGGATTACCATGTGGCCAGGAGCTGTGCTGTGTTGTTCTACAGTGAAACCCTTGGGCACAAGACCTCGCCCCTGAGCCCAGGAGCACTGTCGCATCCCTGGCTTTCCCTTTGTGGAATCACATGAGATGCAAACACATTTGGGGTGGGAGACTTCAGCCAAACTTGCCTTCTGTAGAGACTCCTTTCATAATCCAATTTGTCATTTTGGTGTGCTTGTGGGTTGGGGCGAAGCAGTGGCATCTGCAGGTGTCTCCACACTGCTCTCTTGGTGGAGAATCATCTCCTGTTCTTGCTTGTGAGTCCTCTGTGCCAGGCCCGGGGGAGGAAAGTGACCTCCCCGAGGAGCCCGGGATCGGTGCTCAGCAAGCCGCAGAGGCGGTGATCCACAGGCAGTGCCTCCCTGCCTACCCTCCCTTCCCTGCCGAAGAGAAAGGGAGCGGGGGCTGCCAGGGCCTGTGACCCCTCATTTCTTCCCTCTCCACCAGCCACCACCTGCGCTTACCAGGAAGATTCCACATTTACACTTTGCGAGGCGCAAGTCCTTCTGATGGCACCCGCAGCGGAGCTCAGCAGCATGGGGCTAACAAGGGGTAACACCAAGCTTTGCTGCTGGGAAAAAGAAAAAGGGTAGTGCTGTTTATTTCCAGCTCTGGCATCCAGTGCAGTCAGTGAGGCACAAAGTCATGCTGCTAACCTGCAGCCGGTTTGCCGGGATTAATGATTGACCAGGCTCCTGGGAGGAAATGAGGGGACAGTTCCCACCTGGCTGGCCGCTCCCTGCCAACCTTGCCACCATGGCTCTGCTGATTGGCCTCTGAGAAGCGCTTTGAAAAAAGGCACAAAATTTTCAACCGTCCCCCTCGGCATGCCAGACGCTCTCTGAGGGATGCAGGGAAAGGGGGCAAGCTTTTCTAGGCAATTGCTCTGTCCCAAGATGCTTTTCCCCCTGCTTTGCTGGGCTGAAATCTGCCTGCTCCTGTTCTGCAGGGGCTGCCAGCTGGAGGAGCCGGCGATGGGTGAGTGGAGCGTCCTTTCCTCGCACAAGGTTGATTCCGGAGCAGCACCAGCCTTTCTTGGCAAACAAAGAGACCCAGATGCCATCCTGACTGATACTAATTGGTAACTGGAACAGTAGCTAGTAATCTGGGGGTTGGCCAGCAGCAAAATCGGGAAATGCAGGTCAGAGAGGGCACAGGGCAGTTTGTCTTTGCACTCAAGTTGTATCTTCAGCCTGTGTATTCCCTTTCTTTGTAAGTGTTGCTAAGCTCCTCAGCACAAGGGATGGAGCAGGTTTGCATTTCCAATGCGCATGTCTGGGCGGCACACGCTTCTGTTGGGGGAGGCTGGGGCAGGGGGATATCCCTCTGCAGTCATTTGCACTGCCTCCCAGCCCTCCTGGGCTGCTCTGCCTCCCCCTGCACCCTTGCAGGTGCCGGCGAGAGGGGAGCAGGGATATTCTCAGGAGCGAGAGCTGCTTTCGCTGGGTGGTTGCTGTGTGTCAGGTCTGTAGAGGACACCTCTGAACTCCCGGGGACAAAAGCGAGCTAAGAGTAACACGCTGGGAAGAAGCAGGCAGATGAGCCTGTGGCTTGAGTTTGCTGTGCTTGCTAAGGAGCCTGCCTGCCCTCTGTTCCCATGCCACCTTCCTCCTCACCACGGGAAATGTACAGCATAGGCTAATGGCTGTGGCTCTCATGGCCACGCGTGAGACCAAGGTGTCTGAGGTCTCCCAGTGTACCACACGGCCTCGTGGTGGAGTTCCTTGTTCCAGTGCTCTGCAAGATGGGAACACTGTGACTGGATACTTCAAGGCACTATAGCCTTCCCTGAGTGAATTCTTTTCCTTTTGCTCTGATTTTGGGGTTTGCTTTGTTCCTAGGTTTGAAGGAAGCTGTGAAATCTGATAGCGTTATTGCAGCAGCCCTTGGCGGAGAGGCAAACTTCTATTGCAACCTCTCGCTCTCGATGGATGTTTTGCAAGTCACCTGGCAGAAGAAAAATGGGTCTTCCTTCCAGAACATAGCCACCTACAGCCCAAACCATGGGCTGAGGCTGATAGGGTCATTTCAGAAGAAGGTGCGTTTCACTAGAGCAACCCTGAAGGCCTCAGCTATCACACTCCAAAATCTCACGTTCGAGGATGAGTCCTATTACAGATGCATTTTCAACGTGTTCCCTCATGGCTCTTTCAGCAAAGATATATGCCTCAACATCCAAAGTAAGTTTTCCACTAATACCTTCTCACTTTCTGGCACTCAGCACAGGTCTGATGCAGTCAGGAGGTGGGTAAGGCATCATCCTCTCCACCGCATGGTGACTTTCCATGCAGCAGCATTTCCTTGGTGGATAGTCTCCAGAATTGCCACACCTCTCCTCAGAGGAGGTGGAGGTAAATAAGCCAGGAGGTGCTTTCGGATAAGAACCCACGTACAGAGAGGTGACCTGTCCAGCTTTGACTATAAACTCGCCCCAGAGTGTAAAAAGTACCTTCTCTTTTTGCTCTCAGCAATTTCTGAGCTAACAGTGGAATATGATTCCCACCTGCCCACCGAGGGTCTCCTCACCGCAGTTTGTTCAGCAACAGGAAAGCCTGCCCCCAAAATCACCTGGCTGGATGACAGGGACCTGGATGAGTCCCCTGAAATACACCAGATCCAAAACGCAAATGGAACAGTAACGGTGGTAAACAGACTTACCTTCTCTGCCAACCGCCTCCATGCCTTGGCCTGCCTCCTGACCACCCACACTATAAACTCGCCCCAGAGTGTAAAAAGTACCTTCTCTTTTTGCTCTCAGCAATTTCTGAGCTAACAGTGGAATATGATTCCCACCTGCCCACCGAGGGTCTCCTCACCGCAGTTTGTTCAGCAACAGGAAAGCCTGCCCCCAAAATCACCTGGCTGGATGACAGGGACCTGGATGAGTCCCCTGAAATACACCAGATCCAAAACGCAAATGGAACAGTAACGGTGGTAAACAGACTTACCTTCTCTGCCAACCGCCTCCATGCCTTGGCCTGCCTCCTTGACCACCCACAGGGAAGGAAAATGAAGGCAGTTTACCTGGAAAAAGAAAGGGAAGGTAGGCTGCGTTTGTATGGAGACGTGCAGCATGTGGTGGGGAGCACTTAGGAAAGGATGTGCAATTGTGGGAGTGCAGCTTGTGCTTACATAGGTCTCGTTAGACATTTTCTGGGAGTTCAGACCTCATGTTAAACGAAGATTTCATGATTTGAAACCACCCAGAAGACTCCTCCCTGTGGTACCTTTGTGTCTGTGTGGTGGGGGTGTGTATCTCTCTCTCTCTCTAATAAATATGTAGGTTTGTGTGTACATATGTATATATATCTCTGTTTATATTTCTACATAATCACTAATTTAGAGCAGATGCGATCAGCTCTCCAGCAGTATCCACAGCTGGAGGGTACCAGCAGAGCAGGCCCCTGTCTGTCGAATGCTGGGGAACAACATTTCACATGGAGGATCTTGCAGGAGGGTATGTCTCAGGAAGGATGGGAGACTTTCCAAGAAACAGAAGCACAAATAGATCAGGAGTAAAAATGCTGGGGTTTGGTTCCCCCAATACCAAGGAAATGTGAGACGTTATCGGTATTTATTTAAAAAATAAAGTTCCTCACCTACCACAGTGTTACGTTGTTACACTGTTTCTTTCTCTTCTTCAAAGAATAAATGAGCACAAACTGATGAATGTTTCACTTTAGTCCCAACCTCTGGAAGAAGAGGAGAAACATGTTGACATCCCTCTATGTTCTGTGTGAACTTACTGGTTTCTTTTTGTAGGTGTTCAGAAGAGCATAATCATCATGGCAGTCTTAATAGCTGTGGTGTTCTTAACAATCTTGATACGCTGTGTCATGAGACTAATCAACAGAAAAAGGAAAAAGTAAGAATAATTTCCATTTTCTTGCAAATGACATGGCTTGCCTGTGTTCACCTTGCAATTTGCCTTTCTGTTTCCTGTTGGTGTTTTTGTATACCTGCCCTGGAAACTCACCCAGATGGTAACAGCATCTTTAAAACAGCAAGATTCACTCTAAATTCCAGGAGGTTTCTAAGCGTTATTTGACTAGTTTGTGTTTTTTTTCAGAGTGAAGAGACATAGTGCACCCAGAATACCTGCAAAGGAGAAAGGCTTACACCGAGACCTAAGCGAGAAAGCCGTGAGCCTGCACAAGCCGAAGGACCAGCACATTGTTTATCAAAATGAGGTAATGCAAGTGTCCAGGGCTTCCAGTAATTATTCACAACCTTCGAAAGCCTTGGCAACACTTACCAGGAATGTGACAAAACCCTTCCATCAAGAGCTGGGGTCTGCTCTTGCTGCCATGTCTTTGCTGCATGGGACAGCCACACCAGGTAGATGACACCATACGTGCCCCATCTAACCTCTAGCAATGCTCGGGAAGGCCTGGAGCGTGAAGGAGAAAAGTTAGTCAACAGTTAGGTGGAAAGGCATGGAAGAGGTACTGGAAATGCTCAGGAGGGCAGATGGGATGTCCCTTCTGGACAAAGGCAAGGGAGCGCAGCACAGCTCAGGTGCTGTAACCAGCAGCCTCACACAGAAGTTTTCCCAGAAAAGTCTGCCCTGCCCTGTTGATCACGCAGGCATGAAGGTGCCCTAGAGGGCTGGTGGCATCCACAGACAAAACCAGTAAGTGACCACAGCTGGGAGTCACCCCCCCTAGCCACTTTTCTCTGACCTCCCACAGGTTCCCTGTTTTCCTTGCAAGCTCTTGCTAGTCCTGTGCTGTGAATGAGAGCCCTCTTGTCTTCTTGTCAATTTTCTTTGCCAGATAACATAGAACTTTGTCGTGGTTACTACACCACTGTGCTGGGTCTCTTGCAGGAGCAGTCACCAGGCTCCTCACTTCACAAAAGGCTACCAGGTCTGAAGAGAAACCTGAGAGAGAAAAAAAATTGCAGGCGCTTGTTTTCAGAGGAAGCGGAGAACCTGAACAGCAATGTCCACAGCGTGTTTGAGAGGGGACCTCCTGGGTTATGCGTCAAGGAGCTCGGCTGCACACCCATGAAGGAGGACAGAGGGGCAACAGCAGGTGGGGGAGTCCAAATAACACCCCACCCCGGCTGCTCCCCAGCACAGAAAGGAGAGACATCAGCCCACTAAAGGCTGCCTCCACAAGCCCAGAGGAGCACAAGGGCCCAAGGGCAGGTGGGGAGTCCAAACTAAGGACTCAGAAGAAGGGGCACCTTGCCCAGGCCCCTCCCAGGGATGTCCCAGGAGATCCTCAGCCCCAGGGTTCGGGTGTGAAACCTATCCACATGAGTCATCAGTGGAGCACCTTTTGAACTGAGGGGGGTCACTGCCTAAAGGGGTATGGACGCATGATGGGATGCAGGGGAAGATCGTTTTGGGACTGCACAGGACTTATTATAGGATGCTTAGGGGAGGCATCAAAGGTGAGAAAGGGAGGAATCAAGGGGAATTAGGAATGAAAAAGCCTGGGAAAATAGAGGGATAAAGGGATAAAAGGGACTGGTTGCATGTACACAGGAGGCTGGTCAGTACACTTGTCTGGCCATGCCCAGTGCCTGGTCACCATGGTCTGTCCTGTCTTCTCATTAAACTCCATTTTGAACTCTCTTCCTGGGTGAGGGACTCCCTAGCCAATGTGCACGTGTGTATGGGGGCCTGGTGCCAGCAGCTGGGCCGGGACCATGGGCCAGCGGGCATGTGTGCCTGGGTACCAGCGACTGGAGACACCTGAGTGAGAGAAACTAAGTGCCAGTTACCAGGATGGACCAGGGTCAGAGCCTGTGTGTCCCTGGTGCAGCACCTGGAGTGAGCGTGGGTGAGCATGTGAGCGCCAGCAAGGGTCAAGCCAGACAAGTTGGTGAGTAGGTGAGGTGTCCTGGGACACCCTTTGACATTTCACGAGTAATCAGGCAGGAGTATCTGTGCTGCAGATGCAGCGAGACCCGTGGAACTGTACCGAGATCAGTATTTTGAAAAAAGTTATGTTTGTAAGGGCTCGAGCTGGAAAGCTTCCCCTCCAGCTCTCTGTATCACTACACAAGGTGTGTTAGAAATGTCCCTCCAATGTATTTGCAAAGGCTCTTCTAACAGCTTGTGTCACGGTGCAGCCTCAGCGCAGAGCACTTTCTTTTGTAATAGCAGAGTACCCTCTAGTGGGAGAGATCACGAATGAACGTGAAAACGCCTCCAGTGAGTCTTCTATTAAAATAGCAACTCACTAGTGCTATTTTTTTCTCTTTGGACTTTCAAATAGTCTTTTGGTATCCAGCAAGCCTATCCCAGGTATCAAGAAATTACAACCACTGTATCCAAAGACATTCAGGAACAACACAACTAAATGACTTTGAGGGTTGTCCTGCAGCGGACGCTGACTGTGGTCACTGGAAGAGAAGGTATTGAAAGGGACTGACAGAAGGAACTGGGCATTTGGTTTCAGTCCTGCCTTGCTCTCCTGGAGAAAGAGCTCTTGCAAAGGACCGGGAAGGAAACATGGAAATGTTCCCAAGCCTGTTGTCCAAGCTGCCAGGCTAGCCTGTGATGGATAAAAGAAGGTGTGCTAGAGAAGTGGGAATGGCAGGCATTTGGTAGTACCTGGGAAGGTATCTAGGCTGCCCAAATCCCTCTGACAAGTTCTGCCCAGGGTTGCCTCCTGAGAGCTGAATTTTCTGCAGCTGGGCTTCTTGGTCAATGGACCTTTAGAAAACAATCTCGGGCTTCTTGACCAAGGGACCTTTAGAAGTCAATCTCGAGTGATGTTTTATCCAAGAGTTGCTCAGCATTTGAAGGACAACTGTTCCCTGCATTCTGAAAATCATGTGCTGATTCAGCTTGCCTTGAAGCTTGTCATGCCACATGCATGTAGGTTACAATGGGGGGCTTCAACTTGGCATTCCTTGAATGAGAGTTTTCTGAGATTAAATGCTCATTAATTTTTTTTTTCAGAGAAATTATCTGTGGGTTTTTTCCATGGTAGTCATGGACATTTATGTGACTTTCAATTGTGGCTGTGATTGGAAGCCATCAATATATGTGTATAAACACAACAACAAAAGAAGAGGTGAGCGAGTTTAACAACTGCTTTTCAAAGATAACTTTTTCCCAGGAAATGGAAATTGTAAAGAGAAATGTGCAGGCTCAGTGCTGTGAGATAGTGACCAGTGGTACTCCAGCTGAGTGGTTCAGAGCCTGCTGAAGGAGGGGGAGAGGAATGGCCTCTCCTCTGTACTTCTGGCAGCAAGTACATGATTTATCCTCGGTGCAAAAGGGTAGTTTTTCTAAGACTAAAAAGTTAGCTTTGGTGATTGAGAAGGAAAAATGAAAATACGATGAAATGCACACCAAGGACTCAGAAAACAAATAGGCAGAAAAAGCCTCAATTTTTCCAGAATGTCTCACTTGAGGGCTTTTTAAAACAGCCCAGTACTGGATTTCTACAGGGCAGATGACCTGTTTTTCACTACTCTTCAAGTGGGAGTTTAGAAGTGCTCTTTGATTCTTCCTGATGAAATGGAATTAATTGTTTCTTTCAGTCCTAGTAATTGTGGTGTTTCCTTTCAGAAGGAAAAACATTACCAGTTTTAGAAGCAAAACAAAACAAAAAGCTGAGACCAAGCTGTCCCAAAGCCAGCCTCACTAACAAGACCCAGATAACATGCTCAAGCTTGCTTTCTTTTTAGTGTGCCTGTCCCAAGAGCTGAAGGAGGCTCTGTGGGACGGCAGAAATTAATATAAAAAATTGTAATGACTGTCTCACCTTTCTTTTATGAAATATCCTTCCTTCCTGACTATCAACCTGATTTTCTCCCAGTTACTCATCCCTAGGAAACTAGGATTTGCACTGTCTGGGGTGCAAGTATATTTGTTAGTCTGTGTAATATGCAGCCCACTTCTAAGAGGGTCTGCACAAACAGTGGTATCCACAGCCCCTGGCTGCCAGGATGCTCAGCCCTCATGCAAAGAAAAGGCACACAAATGAAGATCAGTGAGAGAAAGGTGAACAGTCATCAACACAAAAAGACCAACAAGTTTCACAGGGAAGTGAGAGAAGGGAAGAGAATGGGAGCTTGCAAAGTTTAAATTCAGGTGTCTTCCATTTTACACAGCTATTCTAGAGGTGGAAAGCAAAGCAAAATGTAGAACGTATCCAGCCCTTTCTTGCCCTGTAAAGGGACCCCAGAACTTTTCTGTGGTTTTATCCCCACCCACATGGTTAACTTTCTCTGCTGGGAAATGGTGCAGTTTGCGCTGGAGAAATTGGTAGGATCTCAAACTGCAAACCATGTAGCATTGGCTTGTTTTATAGAAGTAATTTTGAGAGAGAGAAAAGATGTGGTTTGTCCATGGTCATATGGTTGAGTCACTAGCAAAATGACAGCTGATGGCAGATCCTCTGGACCAGGCTGGACCTCCTAGTAGACCTATCTGAGCATTCACGACTTGAGGAAACATTGCTTGAATATGATGATTAAGGGGGATATGATAATTTATATGAGCAGAGCCAGAAGGGAGTTGAATCAGCAGAGCCTAACAGTTCTGATGTAAGCCTCCAGGAGGCAACACGCCCTGTAAAACTTAGTGGGTTTGGTTTTACTGGAATCTGTGTCACTGACTCCAGCCATCCTCTAACACTCTTTTTTTCTTTCCCTGTTAAATAATGGCAACTTGCATCAGCTGTATCATATTCTTTTCCTTAAACCTGTACAAGTTTCACGGGTTACTGGCTCAAATGGTTCTGCTTAAAAGAGGTCATTAGTCCAGAAATCAAGGGAAGAACGAAGAAATATATTAACAGCAGAGTGTGTCCACCCAGAAGGCAGAGGAAAGAATAAAGAATAGACGTCATTCATGACAGAAGGGATTTCAGATTGCCTCTTCCACCAGCAGGCAGGGTGTATTGCAGGTGAGGAAATAAAAGGAGAGGAACAAAGAAGTCACTGGATTTTAGGACAAGAGGTCTCTACTCACGCTCTTTCTCACTAACTTTACAGGCTTTGCCATGCCAGATAGTCAGTGTCAGCTCGGCCACCACCAGCTCCAGAGAAGGTGATGTACAAAGAACTTTGCTGAGCTGAGCCAGGTCTGTGTAAAAAGAAATGGTTGACATGAGAGCACAGAATAGGGCAGAAAGGGATTTTTTGTGTCTTGTTCTTCTATGAATATAAAAAGATTTTTAATTTTCTGCCATTGCTGGTCTGCCTGGAGTACTTTCCGTTTGCCTCTGTCTGCCCTGAGGTTACCTCTGGTCTTCATCTACTACTTCAGAGCTATCCTTTCCTTGCTCGGCTCTAGTTTCCTCCCTCTCTTCCAAAGAAGCAGCCCTCTTACTTTCCAGACCCTTTCACCATTTTCTTGTTTCTTCTTTAAGTTTCCCTAGCCCATTGAAGGAGCAGTAAAATTTGGATAAATATAGAACTTTCCGCCTCAGTAGACGTGAGTTACAGAGCGAGCTAATATAATGTATCACTCAAGTCTCCCAAACGTCCCCTTTATTTTCATGAAATAAGGGCAGGAAGATGTCCCTGGGACTTCCCTGCTTTTGTCATTTTGATGGTACAGGGCATTTCTGGATAAATTTATTTTAAGTTGTGTAGTCCGCAGTTCTCTGGAGTTCTCTCTGAAATCCCCTCAACTACAGTGAAGGCAGGTGAGCACAGAAGACTTGCTAACACATTTTTTTAATAAAAAGAAAAACGTGTGAAGGGTGTAGGTATGTCAGCCTCAAACAACAAGTAGTAAGTTAGTTGCTGGAGACCTGACCTGCTTTAGAGGGAACCCACTCTCTACTTGGAACAAAAAGGGAAAGGCTGGCAGAAGGAAGTTTAGGTGACTTGAGACCTACTCATTGGTCCGAGGAGATAGAAGAAAATGTTGAAAAAAGGTAGTAGTGGAGCTTGGGCTTTGGTTTGTTATTTGGCAGAGGAAGGGCTCCACTAAATCGGGCACAGTGGTGGAGATGTCTCCAAGGACAGCTGTATCCAGCTGGAAGAGCCACTGCCCTGGCCCCCAGCCTCCAGCAACAGGTTAGACCTGATCTGGCGGGGGCAGTGGGGGCTTTCTTTTTTTACAGGTCAAAAGGCACTGGTTTGTGCACTGAGGTACTGAGAGCAGCAGAACAGACACGGTTAACACATGGGTGAGCCTGAGATGACCCAGGAAAGGTGCAAATACCACCCCATTCCTTCAGGCAGTTTAATAGCAGTGCTCCAAATATTCCCACACATCTGTGTCTTAAATAAGAAAGGGTTTCTGGTTTTATGTGGGCTCTTGGCCACTACGTGGGCATCTTTGTCAATTAATTTTCGCAGGGGCTTGAAATTGTGCCAACTCTGATATCTTTCCCATGAGCAATGATGTTTTAAAACAGAAGACCTTGTAGGGCCTTGCAAGAGAAATATTACGATTGGTATGAATGATGTGAACACATGCGTGCGCATGTGTGTGTGTGAGAAAGCAGCTGAAGAAACAGCAAACACCGAATGTCCTGTATTTATTGCAAAGGATGCTGTGTCTAATTAATCAAATTGAGAAATGGGTTGTTTCTGTCAAGCCTGATAAAACTACAACAGAGACAACTTGTCAGTGGAAGATCCTGTAGTCTAACAATGGGAAGATGGCAGCGAGACTGCCCTGTATCAGTTGTGCTGCCCCTTTTCCTCCCAGCCCAACAGGAAGGTAGCAGCGAAAGCAAAAGACCGCTCCCAATGATATAAAAGACATATCTCAAAATCAGTTTCTCTTCACCAATGAAGAGAAACCCAGAAGATCCTGGCCAGACCGTTTGAACATCTACAGCTTGTGAGTATGAAACTGGGCATAAAATCAACTTGCCTACAGATTTTGTATAATGAAATGACCTTCCCTTTCCATAAGATCTTCTATTTTTTTTTTTTTTTTAAACTAATTTCCCTCAGCCTAACATCAGGAAAAAGGGTGGGTTTTGTTTAGCTGGACTGAGGATCCAGAAAAAAGGCAGAGCCTTGATCTAGTACTCAAAATTTTATTGCCGACTATTGCCAGGCTGGTGCCCTGTTACCAGGAAGTTCGGGTTTACGCTGCTGATTTTCACGAGCAGCGCGATCATCCGTCCCGGAGAGCTGTTGGAACTAACTCTGTGCTTACAGCCTTCTCTGACTGAAACCTCGCTGCATCTCAGGGTTTACCGCGCTCTTGCTTTAAGCAAGTGGTGGTTTGGTTTTTTTTTTTATTTGTTCTTCCAAGATCA